CCGAAGTAAATTCCGCAGCATATTATTCTCAGTATTCTTTTTCTTGTACATATTATTTTATTTGTTGTTTCTTTTGTTTTAGTTGAATAAATTTAATTCATTATTTTAAAATCACCGAGTTCACTCACTCTTTACCTGTTCCTGGAATCCGACGAGCTACTCCGCACAATTTAAAAGATACAAAACAACGGGATATTTTCTCGCGAAAAAGTTGAACCGTTACACAGAACTCGATGTCTTCGAGCTCATTGACTGGATGGATAAATGGTTGGACGACCTTTGCACGCGGCTATGTCGCCGGTCCAGAATGTCCACGGAAGAAAAAGTTGGAAAGCCAAAGGAGCTTCACACGAAGCTTACTTTAGCATTTGTGGAGCTCCGGGCCAGGTACAGCCTTCAGCAGTCGATTGGTAACGTTGGGCAGGATGTTGCCAATATGATCGATGGCATCCAAGAGATAGATCGGGAGCATGCTGCTTCCGAGAGGAGAATTTTAAATGCTATTGTGCAGGTCAGCGATGATTTGGAGAAACAAAACCTTCATAAAGTTGCTGACCAAAATGCGATCAGGGAGAAGGTTAATGAGGCGCGTGCGACGATCGAGGAGATTTGTCATGAGACTTTTTGGTCGCTCCATGCGCTTCAAGAGAATATGGAGATGTCGATGCGAGCAATCGCCGACGTCTCTGTAGTGAGGCCCGAAGAAACAGCATGTTCTACTTCAGTCAGGAAGAGGAGTCGAATTCCCTCTTCCTGACTGGAGAAAGTTAAAAAAGTGGTTCGGGACACTGTCTCGGAGAAAGTCCAACGGTTCTTGGACCGGAATTCTTCAAGACAGAGTTTTTATAGAGTGTCTTCGACTCCTTTATTTGCCCCTGCTGGAATACAGCCAAGAGAAGAGAAGAAAAAAGAAAAAAAAGAAGAAAAAGAAAAAGGAGAAAAAAAGTTAGCGGTGGCCAAGCGAGGGAAGGAAACGGCCGTTGGGACCGGCCGTGGGTCCCTCCTTTTCCCTCTCTCCCCTTGTCTCGTTTGCGACCTCTGCGAGTGGTTCCCCCTAAAACGGAAACGGTCACCTTGCGTCTCGAGGAGAAGAGCATGTCATATGCCCAAATCCTTTGAGCCGCAAGGAGTAAGATAGACCCAAAATCGGCGGGTGTCTCAAGGGTTCGAACCATGGACGGACATCTGCTGATGGAGGTGGGGGAAGAAGACCGCAAATCTAGGGCGGATCTCCTTGCATCTAAACTTAGAGAGGCTCTTTCTGGGAGCGGCAAGAAGGCTCGCCCATCCCGAAACGTGGAAGTCCTTGTTTCGGGATTGGACAAATTTAGCACCGAGGACGAATTGCGCGAAAAATTTTTGCGGGAGTTTGGTGACGGAAAAGATGCAAGGATAGTATCCCTGCGTCGCTCCCCGTCTAAGGATGGAACCGCTTTGGTTTGCTGTTCAGAGGCGGCGGCCAAGGCGGTTAAAGAGGGCAAGCTACCGATAGGGTGGATAGCGAGAGTACGTGCACTTTGTCCCCGCTCCTTGCAGTGCTACAGGTGTTTTCAACCAAGGCACTGCAGGGCTCAGTGCTCTAGCCAGGTCAACCGCAGCGATTAGTGTTATTACTGTGGTCGG